ACGTGAGCGACTAGAAAGCCGTGCAGCATGGGATTGTTAGGGGTGGGGTTAGTAGCTTTGTTAGACTGAGAACTCGTGCCTCAAGCATCTTTATTTACCAAACTCACTCTTACTCACATTACACTTCAATAATTAGACCCCAACCAAAATCCAGTCTGTAAGATGTTAATGTAAGATGTTTATTAGTGTAATTTAATTAGCACAATGATTACATTAAAACGTTCCAATGTACAAACTGCTTAAGTCTAAAAAACAAAGGTCTACATCTTCAATATTGGGGAAGAGAGAGAAGAGAAGAGACGAGAAGAGAAGAGAAGAGAAGAGAAGAGAAGAGAAGAGAAGAGAAGAGAAGAGAAGAGAAGAGAAGAGAAGAGAAGATTGAGTTTGATTACATATAAGAAACAAGACATTTCAACAGAGCAGTCCTAACCAGCCTGGTCATCTCAGCAGTGAAATATTGGGCCACTCAGGTATAACCATCATGGCAACACAGCATTTCATGGCAGGACTGGCTACTTCATATAAAGCTGTATGTAAAACAAAATTTATTTCTTTCAAAATGAAACATCCAAGTGCAATAGAGTGAGCTAACAATATATAAATTTTAGCAGGCTGTTAGTAGAAATTTTCAGTTTCATAAATTAAAAAAACATTCTTAGATAAAAATAAACTTCAAACAAAACAAACACATAACAAGATGGAAATAAAAGTAGAATAAGGGCAACAATGGAGTGTGTGCGCCCTGACCGCTGCCACAGCAGCTCACCAGGCTTCTCCACCCGCCTGTCATTCACATCAACTGCAGGGACTGGTTAGAAGTGATAGATGCCAAACATACTTTTAAAAAGTTAGCACTACCAGTTGTAAAAAGTTCTCTAACCAACAATCTCCACCAAGAAACAAATGCCACACATCAAAGGGAAAGAGCTGTGTTTTATTTCATGGTGCGGTTCCCATGGTCACAGCTTCCATGTGTGATCAAATCCTTAGAAGTAAAAACAAGCTCTTCCCTTTAAATGTGCTTCCCTTATGTGTCTTCTCACCAGAACCCATGGAAGGAACTCCTGGCAGAGAAACCACCCAGGAGCCACCGTAGGGACTCAGTGTAACTTGCATAAGATTCTGATCTTACCTCCCCAAAGGCAGTTCTGTGTAAGAAGATCTAAACTATGCACATCTCAAACTTCCTCAGAACACAGTAACATTTATCTTAATCTGAAATAATCAGTAGCTTAGTGATTATAAAAACATGCACGGTCTGTAAGAGGATAAAAAAAATTTAAAAAGTGCCCTAGCCGGGTTTCTCAGTGGTTAGAGCATCCGCCTGCAGACCAAAGGGTCGAGGGTTCGATTCCTGGTCAAGGACACATACTTCGCCAGCCCCAGTTAAGGGTGCGCACGGGATATAACCAATAGAAGTATCTATCTCACATGAACATTTCTCTCTATTTCTCTCTCCCTCCTCCCTCCCTCTCACTCTCTCTAAAAAACAATGGAAAAAAGATCATCGGATAAGGATTAACAAAAAAATCATCTTAAAAGTATTTCGCATTCCAGATCTTAAACCAGAATTCCTCAAAGATTTCAAAACATGGCCCATGTTTTATATTCTATTTCTAAAGATCCAATCACAGCTTGTCATTTGAAAGGTTCCATAGTACTTATCCCAAATGCTTCCAGAATTTTTAGCTAATAGTCTGGAAAAATGAGAAACGGAAATAAAGTCCCATCAGACAATCCTCAGAACGTGTGAACATAGATGCTAACGCTCGTGGTGAAGGACCTGACATCCGGGGCTTCACCTGACCCCAAGGCCTGGCACCTGCCGAGTGCAGAGGATGCTAATCCTGAACGGAGACTGAGTCCACGCAGACAATCCCTTCATGAGGGACCTGAGACACTGCTGGCCTTCACTGTGCTCCCATTTAGTTTCATCTTGTGTTGTTCCAGGAGAAGTTGTTTTCTACCTGTATCAACAGCCTAGTATTCTAACAATACTGGATTCCATTTCTTTAACTTCTCACAGCTCATGATCATGTGAAGAAAGTAATTTTGCTTATAAAATTCCACACACAATAATAAGATCGTTAAATTTTCAGGAGAATCTAAACCTAGACAAATAGATCATTTCAAATAGAAACAATTTTGGCCCAACTTGCAACGAACAAAGGACGATTTAATTTGAGGAAATACTTTTCGAAGTTTCATCAGAGCTCCTCCAAGTTAGAAACCTCTACATTAAATAGCAGCATCACTCAGCTCTTAGAAAGGGAGAGAGAAACGCGGGTGCCTAAGCGAATCCCCTTCCCTAAGTCAGCTCACGGAGGGAGAGAGCAAGGGGAGGAGAGGGAGGGTCCCTGCCGTCCGGTGGACTCAAGCCCTTTCGAAAGCTCACGTTCTCCTCTGTGTTACCATATCCTGATTTGGGTGGGAGATCTGAAAACCCAATGAAAACGCCAACTGAAAATGTTTAAAGAAAAGAAAAATGTGAGAGCGAATTAAATGATAAAATGAGTTGAAAAAGAGAACAAGAAATGAGAAACATTAGGTGACCCTTATAATAAAGAGACCAAAATGAGACTCCATTTGTACTTGGTGTTCACAGGGGGAGGGGGCTCCAGCGAGCCCTCAGAGGACAAGAGGAAGCAGATGGCTGCTCAGCATCAGCAGAAAGAGGCCCCGAAGAACCACCCGCAGCTTCTTCTCTACGCGTCCAGGGGGGGAAGCAAAGCTCTGGAATGCTGAAGGTTAGGAGTGTGCGGTGCTTAGGAAAGGCCACTGGTCGGGTGGTCCGCAGCCCCCGTGCTGAGAGACACTAGGCTTCTAGGAGGAGAAACAGAGAGGAGGGAGGAGGAGGAAGGGGAGGAAGGGGCAGAAAAGCACAGGTCATTAGTCAACAGCAAGTTCAACACAGCAAGAGGCGCATAACCCATCCTATGCTACCAGGGGGCTGCGCTGCTCTGAGGCCGGGAGTCACATTCTGAAGGAAACAGAAATGGGGATTTTCGAAGTGGCCCCCGGGAGTGATGAGTCACACATGCTCCGGAAACATGCACCTTCCTTCCCGCACTCCTTCCCACCCCAAGGCAACACCGGACTTTCAGTAAAGCACCTGCTCATGCAGCCCCGTGTCCGGTTCAGAGGCAAGCCCCTTCCGTGTGCGAGCTGTCTGCCCGGGGAAGGAGGACCTGCTCTCCTCATCCCCCTGGGAGCACACAGCCAGCGGGTTCTGGTTTGCAACCGGGAAGGAAAAGTCTTGGGACCGTAAGGCCTAGGCTGTATGGCTTTCCCGTCCTTGTTTCCTGCCCTAGTGAGATCTGGCCGTGGGAAGCGACTGCTACATCAAGTGCGATCAGACCTGACCTGCTGCTGGAGAAGAAACCTCCTCCAGCTGTGACAGCTGCGCCCTTCCCGGATGCAATGGCATCTGCCCTTTCACCAGCTAATCAAATCAATCCCCTCATTGTCTCCTGGTTAAGGAAAGTTACATTTACTCATGTTTAAAGTTCACGTTCAAGCTTCTTCTTTAATCACAAATGTTTTCTTAAAACCAAATGATACAGATGACTTTGTTTTCAAAGTCGGCACAGAAACTGCCAGAACCACATATAACGACGATTATCATTTCACAAAACCACGGTGGCACTTCGGGTTGCTTCTTGCTTTTCGCGTGAAGAGCTCTAATTCATGAGTTGCTAATAAGGATGCTAAGTCACTGGATAAAACTAACAGTCACAACAAACAGCACCGAGGCATCAGGACGTCTGAGGAACAGAGACAGAGGCCACAGAGGAACGACTACGTCCTGGAGGAGCTGCGGTGCCGGCAAAGGCGCCTGGGAGCCCCAGCACTGAGCCCGGCAGCGTCGGAAGGGAAGGCTCTCGAGGCTGAGGTCTGCGTCCAAGAGGAGAACCAGGCCAGGCCACGCTCGTGTCTGCCCACACCGACATGCGAACCCAACGTCCGCCCCGTCGCGAGGGCACACACTGTCGGTGACAGAGAAGACTGTCTGGGCCAAGACTGTCTGGGCCAACAGTGCCAGCCTGATCACAACTGCAAGCGAAGTGCGGTCAGCACCCCATCCACACCACTTCCTACCAGCTCCCCCAGGAACACGGACATGGCACCCCTGCGGCGTGGCCGCTGCTGGGAGAGCTCCGCTCACTGCAGATACACGGGGGCAGGGGCGGTGCTGGGGCGAGGTGGAGCCACAGGCACTCGGTGCTGGTGCGAGGTGGAGCCACAGGCACTCGGTGCTGGTGCGAGGTGGAGCCACAGGCACTCGGTGCTGGCTGACAGAGTATCAAAGCCCTGGTCACAGGCTAGGAGGTACAGTCAGAGACAGATTTCCAAATGAACAGTTACGAGGAAAATAAAGAAAAAACAGACTGAGGGCAAAAGAGAGAAGAAAAGAACCTTAATCCTCAGCTCACAGGTTCCCTATGCGGAGCCATGGGAGCACTGAGTGCAGTGTGTTCAGGGGAGAGACCTGCCTGCAGAGCTGGCGGGACCGGAGGCCTCATCTCCATGACGACTATTTTTAAGGTCCATCAGTTCTTGTTTGGTACAACTACACCAAATAGTCAAAGAATATCAAAGGAAATTCACTCTTCCCTTTCCACTGCTGGAGATGTTAGGGGGCAAATGCCCTAGGCCAGTGGTTCTCAACCTTCTGGCCCTTTAAATACAGCTCCTCACGTTGTGACCCAACCATAAAATTATTATCGTTGCTACTTCATCACTGTCATGTTGCTACTGTTATGAATCGTCATGTAAATATCTGATATGCAGGATGGTCTTAGGCGACCCCTGTGAAAGGGTCGTTTGACCGCCAAAGGGGTCGCGACCCACAGGTTGAGAACCGCTGCCCTAGGTTTAAACACACCCAACAAGAACAACAATACCCTTATCACAGAATGACCCATCTGCTTCCATTATCACCCTCGGCAAGGAGCTGACCCGGGTGTGCACTGCGACTGGGGAACCCGGGACCCACTCACCTGCAGTGTCATTCCCTGGCGTCCCGTGGTCGCCGTTGGCCAGCACTGCTGCTCTAGGAGATGGAGCACCTGCAACCAGCACGAAGAAGATCACCATGTGACCAACAAAACATGAAAAACAAACCCAACCTCTATCTAACTAGGAGTTTGTGTCACAGCATTAGCTTAAAGCAGATAAAAATCAGTCCAAAATGTAAAGATCCAATGAAAGGAAACCCAGAACAGAAGAGAACTGGGATTCATGTCCACAGCCCCACTCTCTTGTTAAGCACGCCCCGTGGAGGGGGGCTTCCTAACAGCGGAAGCCTTTTCTGTTCTGTCAACTGTCAGATTGGCACCAGATTCAATAAACCATCATGAAGCACCACTTGTCTACTCTCTGCAATTCAAACCAGACCTCCCGAGGGCCAGGGCCCTTGACAATAACCCCATGAAAAGCCCGGCACCACCACGGCTCCTGGCCAAGAGGAGACAGGGAGGCCAACAGCATCTGGAAGCTCAGGGCTTTTTCTTCCCGTTAGCTGTTCTAATGATGCAGAGTTGGTCTCATTCCCTA